ACGCGTATGTCGTACACTGTGAGGACGCATCAGGCGGGAACCGCTCTTGTTGTAAACCGGGAGCCAGGGCACAATTGGGTGACCCCCCACTTTCTTCATTGCAAAGACAAGGTGCGAAACATGGAGTGAGCAGATTATTTGATCATTAAAATGGTTTCACTTGAAATTCAGCTGGTTACTGGAGGCAGGGGATTACCAATAGCTACCCTGTAGAAGTGAAAACCAACAACAGCGACGACAACAACAGCAGTCATGCTACCCGTATGCTCGATCATTCTCTATGGAGCATGCGTCCATCATGGTCGCTCCCCCATAAAAAATGTATTTTGCTGCACGTGGGGGTCCGATATTCCTGTGTGCAGATCTCCCGCCCGAGGAGGTCTTGACAACACCTTTCCCGAAACACCTCAACATCTCCAGCCCCGATGGCACATCGCCTTCGCAATCGCCTTGCCGATGCTCTGCTTCTAGGTATCACCACGCCGGACTGGCCCGAAACCTGTGGGAGAGGCCCCGCAACCCCTGGGAGTGCCCCCGGAACCGCTTGGACAGTCTCTTGCCCATTGGATAGTCCCCAAAGCCTATCAGAGAAGTTTCGGAACCCTTGTGGGCAACATGAGGGACCCTGGGACACGACAAAGGAGGCCTCGGGACATTTTTGGAAAAAAGGCTCTTGTCGGAGGAACTTGGCAGCCTCGGGGATGGGAAAAGAGGAAGGGGAGGTGAGGAGGAGGAGACGGGGGGGGAGAATGATGAGGGAATACGGGGAGGGAGGAGGAGGAGGAAAAGGAAAAGGAGGAGGAGGAGGAGGAGGAGGGGAGGAGGAGGAGGAGGAGGAGGAACGGAGAGTATTCGGAGGAGGAGGGAGGAGGAGGAGGAGGAGGAGGAGGAGGAGGAGGAGGAGGAGGAGGAACAGGAGCAGGAGGAGGACGAGGAGGAGGAGGACGACGACGAGGAGGCCGAGGAGGACGACGAGGAGGAGGAAGGGGACGGGGAGGAGGAGGAGGAGGAGCACGATGACTACGAAGACGACGACGACGACGCCGAAGACGACGGGGTCGCCGCCGCGGGCTTTCGGGCCGGCCCTGGCGCGCGGAACGCGCCACGGGGGCACCAGCGCAGACCTCCGACAGTGTATGCTGCATTCTTGAGGCTCCGCACAAGGGACTTGGGAAGCCCCAAAGGCCTGCGTGACTCTTGAGTTACCACGGAGGAAATCCAACGGGAGCATTGTTGTTTGCAGGGGGACCGTTTGCCGCGCCGAGGCGGGAGCGCCGGTCTTGAGCAAAAAGCCTGGAAGTAGCGAGCGGGAGCGCCAGTTCTGTGGGAAAACCAGCTTTCGGCGGCGAGCAAGAGCCCGGGTCCCGAGTTAACAAGGAGGATCGAGCGGGAGCGTGGTTGAAATTTCATTATTGAAAAATGATTGTTGACCCTACTCCCGTGATTTGTACTCTTCATTTGAAGCGCTTGCCGCGGGGTCCGCACCATTAATTTTGATCAGAGAATATCACGGGGCTCAATGTGTGCTGTTGGCCCCCAGTTTACAACAACAGCGGCTTCCGCTCGACATCCCCTCACAAAGTATTCCCACATCGCGCTCTCGCGCGGGACTTCCTCACACTTTGTGCAGGAATCGCGCTCTCGCGTGGGAAATCTGCAGTTCATTCAGACGATGCGCTCTCGGCGCTCAGGAATTACGTTTTCGCTTTGGCTTCTTTCGCGATTTATTCGGAAATCGCGCTATCGACAAAGACATTCTCGCGATTCATGCAGGGCCCGCGCTTCAGCAACCCGCCTGCTCGACCTGGTCCCCTGGGCCCGCCTTCCCGACTTGCCCGCTATGGGTCTGCCCACCCGATTTGCCCGTTCGGTTATACTACTTGTTTGCTGATCCTTGCCTTTCTTCTGCTCATTTCTCTCGTGCTACATTATTCTCCCCTCCCTTTTCCACTCGTTTGGTCCTCCCTTGTTTTGATGGGGTTGCATTAAATGCACGTGGCAGGTAAGAGAGATATACCCCAAGGCGGCGCGGGATATACGTATCGCCTGGCGCTTGAACATATAGGAGCGAACGGTTTTAATGTTTGTTATTGTTGCTGTTGTTGTTGCTGTTGTTGTTTGAATTTTTCACTGCCAGATAATAAGTATTGCTGATATCTGGAACCGGTTCCGCGCGCTCTCGCCTTTACGCCGGCTGCAATTCCTCTGAAAACGAGGCTCCCGCTCGAGCGCGGGTTTGATTGTAAGCGCGTGCCCTTGGAAACCCGGCTAAAACGACAACGGCTCCCGTTCGATACCTCCTCACAAGTTATCCCGAGACACCCTGGCCAGAGAGGCCCCCGAACTCAGGAACGGCGCTCTCGCTCGAGAGTTCCTCGCAAGTCATTCAAGTTGGTGGAGGCCCAGCCACGACGACAAGGTCTCCTGGTCGATAATTGCTAACGTTTTACTCCGAGACCCCCTGGCCAGGATGGCCCCAGAACTCAGGAACGGCGCTCTCGCTCGACACTTTTTCATGATTCAGTCAAGTTGGCGAATGCCCAATTACGACGACAAGGGCTCGTTCGATACTTCCTCAAGAATTATTCGCAGAGGCCCTTGCCAGAGAGGCCCCCGAACTAAAGAGTGGCGCTTTTGCCCGAGACTTTCTCGTAAGTCGGACAATTTAGTGGAGGCGCAAATGCGGCGACAAGGGCTCCCGTTCGATGTTTCCCAATATGTATGCCGAGTACCCTTGGCCTGAGAGGCCCCGAGATCAGGAACAGCGCTATCGCTCGAGAGTTCCTCGCACTTTTTTTCATAAGCCGACAAGGAAGATATTCCCCCCGAAAGGGGGGGTGATCTAAGACGAAGTGGGCGGGTATCGATAGTTGAGGTATGCAAATTGAAGACACGCGTGCCCGTAAGAGCGAAGACTCTTAAAATGATTACTGTTGTTGTTCTTGTTGTTGTGGTTATTGTTGTTGTTGTTGTTGTTGTTGTTGTTGTTGTTGTTGTTGTTGTTGTTGTTGAACATTATTAATTCTAAAGAATAATTATTGTTGGGACCCCTGGTGCACGGCCCCCCTGCGCCGCCTAGGCCGCAGCTACATTTTCATCATTTTCGTGAGGAAGCCTCAGGTAATTCGATGTGATCAAGATCCGGTTGTTTTGTTCCCCCCCGCTTTCCCTTGCAAAAAACACTATAAAATGACATTTCTTGTTCTAATATAATCAAATTTCAAGAATCCCTTGCAAAAAATAAGGTAAAGTGGACATTCGCGCGCGCAAGACGAAATCCTTCCAAAAGCTTAGTGTTCGGAGCGATTTTAACATAAAAACATCAAAAAACCAATGGTTTTTCAACAAAAAAATGTCAAAATCTCATCCCGCGCGCTCTTGCGGATTCGTAGGAAACCCAACACTTTTTAAACATTTCTGTCAAACGGGCTTTTGCGAGCAACTTTTTCGAACTTCTGCGACAACGGTTGCGCACCTGCCAGGGCCATCATCCCTGTCAAATAATACCATGCGGGACACATTCGTTTTTTCTTCGCGCGCGCACGCCGTCGTCGTCGGCCGCGGGGCCCTGAATAGTAGCCACGGTCGTCCGCATGCCACGAAGTGAAGTGTCCGAACGTCATAGGGCGGGAAGCTGGGTGTGGGTGGTGGCGAAGAGTCGTTTGGAAATTTGGTAGAGCTTGAACCGGCCCCCCCACAAAGTGGGGGTATTGCCCGCCTCCTATGAAAACCCTGGCACTGGTGAGAACGGAGTGTCCCCAGTCTTAAATGATTGTTGTTGTTGTTGTTGTTGTTGTTGTTGGGAGGCCGCTTTCGGCGCAACCCCAAAACGCTTGAACTTGCGCTCCAATTTCAAAGGAAATGCAGCCGGCGCTGAGGCGGGAGCGCCAGTGCGGATGTAGTGTGTGTCACAATGAGATATTTTATTACTCGAGGCTACAAATGAAACTAGAAAAGCCTCAGGGCCTCTCGGAGTCTTGAGTAAAAGCAGAGGAAGTGTCGAACGTGAGCGTCGTTGTTTGCAGGGGGGGCCGATCGCGGCGCCGAGGCGGGGGTGCCGGTCCTGATTTGTGAAGCCTGGACATATCGAGCGGGAGTTCCGGCTTTGCAGGAAAACCCGCTTTCGACGGCGAGCAAGAACCCTGGTCGAGCGGGAGCGTTGTTGTTGTTGGGGGGGCGCTTTCGGCGCACCCCAGAAACGCCTGAGCATGAGCTTAATGTTTAAAGGAATGCCGCCGGCGCCGAGGCGAGAGCGCCGGGGCGCCTGTATGGGGGTCCAACAAAAAGAACCGTTTAGCAATTCGGAGTCAACAGCAACAACAACAGCAGCGTCAGCAACAACAGTTCGTACCGCAGAGGCCCACATCAGCCACGCACCCAGGAACAGTGAATGACCGTTCGGCCCCCTCACTCTGATGTGTGACCTTGCTCACCGCTTGCGCGGATGTGAAGCTATTGCTTGAGAGACCCGGCAATTCCTCCTCGCTTCTTCCTCCTCCTCCTCCTTCCTCCTCCTCCTCCTCATCCTCCTTCCTCCTCCTCCTCCTCGCTATTGCCCTGTCTCTTTGCAGTTCTCCCAGCGAGATGGACAGGCGGTGGACTCTTCACAAGACGGGGTCCCGCCTGAACGGCAGGCCCACGGGACGCTTGTCTGTCAAGAGGGGGCTTTTGCCGCAGTGGGCAGGGCTATTCCAGATTTCGTAATAAAAGGGAGGGGGTCTGGACCCTCCAAGACACGCCATTTCAGACCTCCCCCGTGGGAGAAGCCTCCAAGACATCGTCCCCAGACCCCCCAGGCCCTCCAAGATAGCCTGGAAGAGACCCCCCCCGAAATGAGACCCCCCTCCCTTTATTACGAAATCTGGAGTACTTTCGTGGGGGGCTGAGGGGATGGAAATTGGGACGGTCGGCCGTATTGCAGCACGGTTGTTGCACCTTGGGCTTCGGCTGGCACTCCTCCTCTTCCTCGTCCTTCCTGCTCCTCGCGCGCCGTGCCGCAG